CCCATAATTCTTTGGGATCTTCAACCATCATGTACTCAGTTTTAAGGCCTTCATGTAAATGATGCCTTAACAACACTAAGGCTTTTGCCTTATCTTGTTCAGTAACAGGTTTTGCAACAGTCATTGCAGAAGTGGTAGTATTAGTTGTTTGACCAGAGGGACTTTTATTTTCTTTAACAGTGTGCTCCAAACCTTGAGCTTTCAAATTCATCATTGCATCCACTTTCCATTCCAGAAATTTCTTTCCAGATAAATCTAAGATGCTGAACTGTCTTTTCATAAGGTCTCCCATTTTAGCTACAACAAATTTTGTGATAATTAGTTTATAATAACAAATTATATGTACAACTCACATGTTTAGTTCTTCCATATTTATAATTAAGTTAATAAGACACGTGATAATTAAATTTAATAATAATAAACCATAAATAATATAGTCTTTTCTCCCCCTTGGTTTATTATTGTGAGTAATTATATGATTAGACAAAAATTAATCATGTTAGTTGCAAAAAAAAAAACAGCAAAACGACAACAATGACAGTAGTAACAATAATTATAATGATAACGGTAATATTATACAATGATGATTAATAAAAACAAACAACATAATAAAACAAAAACAAGCTTTTAATATACTAAAACGACAAAATAAGTGAGTTTTACTTATACATAATGACAAAAATTAATATTGCTACTAATAGAACTACAAGTGCCGTAATTAGAAGGAAATATTGTTTTATCTTCCTTAAATCTTCTTCAAAAGTGAAGTTGTGGGTGTTTTGGTTGCCGTCGTCGAGGAACATATCGGAGAAGAAGGGGGTGAAAATTTTTTTTTTTAGGTGATTTTTGGATAAAAAGTGGGAAGAGATAAAGGATTTGTGGTGAAATTGGGAGAAAAATCCGTCTTTTATAGAGGTAGGTTTATCCGTTACTGTTCTGTACAACTGTAAAAATATCATATAATAGTCTAACGTACTGGCATAAAATTATGGTCCATATATATATATATTTATAATTGTAAAAGGTTATCACACTGGGAATGCAAGCCATAGTGGTCCGAGAGCCCTAATATCTATAAAAGATCATGGGTTCGAAAACGGAAAGAAACACAAAAAGTATGTAAAAGTAAGAAAAATAATAAGTATAAAAGGCTGCATCTTTTTATTAATCTAGTTAATAATAATATGTATGCAAAGCTACTACTTAGCAATTATAATAACTAAGATAAAAATTTACGTAAAATGAGTATGTAATATCAACATGGATCAAACAAAGAAACATCAACATGAATAAACAAAAGATGATAGTAGTAAATTCACAAGTAAGAGAACTTTCACCGTTGTTTTTTTTTTTTTTTTTGAGGTATATATAGTAAATGTTTGAGTTTCTGTTATAGAGGATCCCAAATATGGGCAACTATAGAGCATACTCCTCGAAACATTTAGAAGTAGATAATATTATTTGTTATAAATTTTTTAGAAGTAGGTATAAATATACCTGACTGAAAACTGGTGCTGATAACGTGTTAAAGTTTTACCGATAGAAAGTTTTATAAAGGAGTAAGAGAAGATGGAGAAATTGATTATGTATATTGCTCCGGTAACATGGCTTATATAGCCAAGAGTCTTACATATAATGCCACACAAGTTCACAAGTCTTTGGACTTGTGTGAACATTGTGAAATCAAATCAAATAATTATAGGCATTTATATTTATCTTTTAACACACAATACTATTTTTATTTATATAATTTTGATATAATTTTTTTTGGAAAATGTTGGGGTTTGTGATTTTTTTTATGAGGGAGCCCTAGGATCTCACAGTGAATTTGTTTCTCACACGACATTTTTGTAAATAAACCAACAACTTTATTTAATTGTGGAGCCCACAATAATGAAAAATTTATTGATTTATTTACGAAAATGCCAGAAACAAATTTCGTTTCTCACCGCGAGAAACAGGGAATTTCCCTTTTTTTTTTTTTATTGTTAAACATGTTAAGGATACTCTTTGATATTCTTCACCTTTCAGAAATTCATGTTTGTGATGCAATCTATCTTTATGTGTCTATGTTATTGTGATTTTCTACCCTGTTTCTTTGCTTAATGTATCTAAATAGTTGCTGGTTAAACTGAATATAAGTGATGCGGATAAGAGTTTAGAGAACTTTTCTACTGCTTGATTATTCTAGTTTTTACTTGATTTTATTTCAGAATTTATGCAATTGGTATGTTCGGAATTTTTGTATCAACTTCTTATTAAGATTGCTGAATGTATGCTGCATTTAAATCTTATCAATATTGCTGAATGTATATGCTGCATTTTAAACTTATTAAGATTGATGAATGTATGCTGCATTTTAATCTTATCATATATGCTGCATTTTAATTTTATTAAGATTGTTGAATATATGCAGCGAGCCTGATAGTTTAAATTACAACGAGCCTGATCATTTAACTTAGGTTCATGTCATCAGTTACCATTTTGAACTTCTTCCTTACCTTGCATTCAGTGTGTAATTGATGTTGGCGTGTTACTATTTTTGCTTTCTTTCTAGTTAAGCGGTTTGAAATGGTGTTTAAGTATTGAGATAAATGATCTTGAAAGACGGTTGATGTATTTCTTGAGCAATTTTTTTTTTTTTTTTAATTCTTATGTCGATCACCTTCTCTGTTGTATTACCTTGAACTTCTTGTTGACCCCATGTTCTTGGTATTTTATAAATAACATTGCCTGGTGTTGCTGTTTTCACCTTCTTTCAGGCCAGGTGTTTAAGTATTGAGATAAGTGAACTTGAAAGATGCTTGATGTATTTCCTGTGAGCAAGATCTTCAACGTAGAGCAAGATGACCTGATTCCCATGCTTCTAAGAAGCCACTGCTCAATCTTTCTCCCTCTGACTTTCTGATTAGAATTTGAAATTTTGACTACACAGTTTTCAATAATAAATTTTGATTTTTTGAATGATTTGATTATGTAGGGAGCTCAAGAAGATGAAGAGATTCGGAAAGATCTTTGATTAAGTAGAGCCAGGTTTTTTCTCCCGCTCTATCTCTTATCCCTCTATATTTGCTTAATTTCAATTGTTGTCCATTACACAATAATTATTTTGTGATTTTGTAAAGTTGGGAGGTTGAATTTGATTGTTGCAAATACTGTAGTTTCTTAGCATCTTTGGACTTGATTGGTAGATTCGGTCTGTTGCTCTTCAAAAGAAGGATGTTGAAGCTAATTGGAAAGCTCTATAAATCTGAATAACTAGTGAAGATATAAGTAAACCCCAGATGTCTGATTCCATTTTTGCATATGGTTGAAGGAACAGAAGAAGATAAACTTATTTGGGGAACCACAAGTTCAATCTAGACTTGGGAAATGACGATGTTCAGTGTTACTTGGCCTATGGAGTTGCATCAACTAGACCAAGAATTTATGGATCCAAACCTTAAAAAGGTAAGACCAAATTGTTATCATTGTCTTCTTGATATGTTGTTGGTATATTATTTGTATTTCTAAGTTTATTGTTTTTAGGTAGTGCTGTAGTGATTGTGCCTAGTGAGGTTTTATATGCTCCGTTCAAATTTTGAACCAGAGCCTTAAGTCAATTTATGCTCCGGCTTTGAACCGAAGCATTTTCAACCTGTACTATGCTCCACCCACTAGTGATGCGATTCATAACTGGAGCATATATGGCTATTTTGACCGGAGCATTTGATGTTTTTTCTAGTAGTGTATATATCAACCAACATAAGAAACATATTAACCAACAAATGAAACATATTATCCAACAAAAGGATGAAATTAGCAAACAAAAATAACATACAAGCCAACAAAATGAACATATTAAGCAATAAGAGGAATATATCAACCAACAAAAGAAACATATAAGCAAACAAAATAAGGAGTAATATGATAAATCTTGTATTCATTGGTTAAATGATATCATATTTCAGTTTTATGATATCATCATTTATAGGCTAGATGATATCATCTATTGTGTCTATAGTACCATCCATTGCCTAGATGATATCATCTATAAGCTGGGTTCTTGTTTTTGAGGCTTGACTCACAAAACTCTTAATGAGACAAGCCTTACGCAATAGCTTCTCTAAACAATATTAATTAACATGAAAAATAAAAACATGACATATATAAACGAATAAAATGCTTATCCTAAATGACACATACATACTTTATGACAACAACATATGAACATACTATTATCTACATTGATAATTTGAAAAAATTACTTCTGAAAAGGAATTTTATGTAACTAAAACATTATTTATTTATTTTATATTTTTATGACATACCATAACCTCTTTCCAAAATTAACCCTAGCAAATTGAAGCTAGTTTTTGCTAAACTAAAATTACATCCAACATGATTAATAATTTATAATATTATTAAAGCTTATAGGGACAACATGCTAACGTTATATGTCACTATTACTTATGATTTGGTGGCACATGTGCGTCATGTGTCACCCCATGTGTTATTTCCCTTCTTTCACCACATTGAATTGTAGAAATGTTTAGTCACTTTGAAAAACTCTTCATTGACGTAACTTTAATTTTCTATAATTTACTTGAAATACACTTCATATGCATAACCTCCGTATTTAAATTTGACATATCTTATACTTCCCCCGTTAACTATTACTCGTAATAAAGGGGTATTATTTGTCAGAGATAAAATATTCCTTTGGTGCAAGTAATAGTTAATGGAAGAAGTATATTTTAATGAAAGGTACATGGTAATATAAATTATTGTATTTTTCATTCACTTATTAATATTGTTCAACATTAACCCTTTTTTATTTTAGTTTTGATCAAACTTATAAATTTATGATGTGTCGTGGCATGGCCCGCGGGTCAATAACTAGTTGCAATTAGATCAAAAAAAAAAAAAGGAAATTGAAAAATCAACGCTCACGTGACTTGCACACGTCTTCTTACACGCTTGTCCCGCACACTTTTCACCCTTTGAAAAAATCGGGGAAAAAAAAAAACAAAAAAAATAAAAAACAATGCTTGCTCCAATTACTTACCGACTGAAACGAATCAGATCCAAAAAAACCAACCAAACATGACCAGATTACTGGAACTTTCTCGTAGGGTTCTTCCCAACTCCGCCGCGCTTCTCCACCGGACCTCCAATCTTCCCTCCAACCATGGATTTGCACTTGGGTCAATCAACTCAAAACCCTCGCAAAACCCTAAAAATGGCGAACAAATTCAACCCTTTTCTTCATCACCCCAAATTTCTGGTTCAAACCACAGTGTTTACATGAATCAATTATTCCCCAAATCGAATTCAAGCTTCAAATTAAGCAGCGGAAATTCGTTACAGGCTGATGTTCTTCGATTAAGCGAAGATGTATTCTTGGTTGATTCAGGAATCGGAACTCCAAGAGTTTGTCTACAAGACGAGTTAATTGGGGTGAAGAACAAGAACAAAATCAGGTTTGAAAATCGGGTTGGATTTTTGGATTTGGCTACAAGTGAAACGCTAATTAACAAGCAGATGTTGGAGAGGTTTTTCATTGATTTGGTAGCTGGTGATTCGACGGCAAAAGAGCGGGCTACTGCGAGGTTTAACGATTTGGTTGGTGGATCAGCGGATGTGAATGCAGTTGCTGCGGGTGAACCATTGCTTGTTCTGCCAAGGCGGTACCGGCAGAAGCGAGCTTGGATGGAATTAAGCAAGAAATGGCGGTCGAATTCGCAGGTGAAAGGGTTTATTGTTGGGAAAATGAGAGGTGGTTATTCTGTTGCTATTGCTGGGTTTGTTGCATTTCTTCCATTTCGTCATCCGAATCATCTGAGAAGGTTAACTAGTGATCGTTTTACAATTGAGAGTATTAATCTCAAATCCGGGAATATTGTGGTTTTGTAATTCTACCATCAACAAGAACAGCAATCAAGAGTATTTTTCTCTTCCTCCTGTCTTGCTTAAATTAGATTTTGTTTTGAACATTTATATTTTTGGTGAATAATTTGATGATAGTTTCGGAATTCAATGGCTTTTTTTTTTTGTGTTCTTGTGGTTGTGAAGCAATTTTTGTTGGTACTCTACATTAAATGAAATTGGGTTTTTGAGTACCCTTTACAAGAGTTATGACTATCCCTCGTTGGAGAAGTGATGAGCTGTTCTCGGTGATTTTTTAATAGCATTGTTGCATTTTGTGTTGATAACTCGCGTAGACAGGGTAATGTTAGAATTATGGATAGTGTCAAATCTCGGTAGCTCCTCATGTGATTCACTTGACTTGATTCAGCAAGTTAGGGGAAAACAAAAAAAAAAAGCCTTTGAGGGAGATGCTCATTATTCACAAATTTTGAAGCATATTAAGCATTGTTTTTGTTAATTAGTATTCGGTTATTCACAGGATATTAAGCATGTATGTAACTTGTTTGCGCTATCGCAAACTTAAAATAATACCTTCCTAGCATTTAGCTGTAATGCTTAACTAGAGTAAAAACTCATGCGTTAACCTATGTCTTGGTCTTGATTTGTGGTTTCTGAGATTGAGCTAGATCTTATGAAAGCCTGCTGACTTATTAGTTTTAGTTGTCAATATAATCTGTCAATGAATGGGAATGTTAATAGCATTGATAAACAGAGAAGGTAATATTATGGGGAGAAGTTTGTCTGCAGCAATGCTAGGTTGCTAGAGGGATTGATACTGAGTTAAATAATGAATCTGCTGTAGGGGCTGTAGCTGAAGCTCCCTCATCGATTATCAATAACAGCAAGTACTAGTGGGACTTTAGAATGTTCCAACTTTGTGAGGGTTAGAGGTACTGCTAGCCTTGTGTGTCCTGATATAGTTAATGAACGGAATAAATTCGTTCTTTTGGGATTTAGGACTTCAGGGAACAATAACCGATGACAAAGAGCTGATGTGTGAAAGGGATTTTAAGCTCTGTTTGGCAATTGGCTCTAGGCTCTAGCACGTCATTTCCTTAATTTGCCTTAAAATGGATGAAAACTTTTCATGTGATCTTGAAGCAATTCGTTATATGGTTTTGGGGATTTATATCCATGTCCACAAGGTCAAATGGAATAAAATTGCCAGTTTTGAACAATGATTGAACTTAAAATCACCTCGTCATGGCAACACAAGTATGGTAAAAGAGTGGGGAAAATCTGTATTGAAGGACAAATCTTGGTTGTTGTGATCTTTCCCTATCTGCTAATTGGGCCATTGGGGAAGGGTAAGTGTTCTTGAGCTAACTAAACTGTCTAGGAAGAATGGCTTTGGTTAGGTAGGGAATCTTCATTGAAGTGATGTTAGCTAAGGCCTTTTATCAAGCCAGTCTTAAAGCAGGAAGTGTTATGCCTCGATGGTATTTCCCGGTATATTATTGTTTAAATCTCGAAGAATTCAATTTAGTGTCTTTGCAAGATTATCTAATCATGGGAGATGTAACACATCTTAATCTAGCATAATTGTTCATGATTTTCGTCATGTGTACAAAGAAGCAAATTGAGCTATATAGACTGGTTAGCTTGTTTATTCCATTCTGTTTTTGGAGTCTACTGAGTATAATGGGTTGAGTCTGATTTATCCTTGTACTTAGAGAGTAGAGGGCTTAGTGGCTTACTAAACTCAAATTTTCTTGGAGCCATCTCATCTTTCTTGCTTTCTGAGTTCCTGGATTGTATATTGGTGCTTCTTAATCTGCTTAGAAAACATTTTCCTCTCTCATGAGTCATGAATCAAGCTAGCAAAAACAATTTAATAATTATATGGGTGCTAGCTGTTGGGTAATCAATCTTGTGCTAATGTGCTGATCACAGAATTTGTAGTGCTATATCTCGGTGTTCTTACTCTTGACTTCAATTTGATAGAGAGGGGTATTAAACAAAAAGAGAGATCAAGGAGGGGAGGGGAGGGGAGGGGAGGTTTGCTTTATTTCCGAATCTTACATAAATTGACAATACTCTTTCATTCCTTGATGTTGTGCTTATTGGTTGCAGGACATTATACACATCTAAATAACTCATTTGTGGTATCAACTCAACTAGTTTATACACACATGCATCTAGGTTAATGCACCTTTTAGTACATGAGAAAGGGTGGCATTGGCGACATAGATAAACGAAAGGTTGAAATTAACATGGAGTGGACTTGGTCCAGCATAAATAATTAGTTTAGGGATTTTTTTCATGTATCTACAACTCTTAAAAAGAGAGAAGTTCACGGTTAGACCTGTTATGAACAGTAGCGAATTTCAATTTCCAATTTTGAACAGTGTCAATTTTGAACAGTACATTTTGAACAGTAGCGATTTTAACAGCACAACATTTGCTACAGTAGCAATTTGAACAGCATAACATAGACAATTCACGGTTAGACCTGTTATGAACAGTAACGAATTTCAATTTCCAATTTTGAACAGTGTCAATTTTGACCGGTAAATTTTGAACAGTAACGATTTTAACAGCACAGCATTTGCTACAGGAGCAATCTGAACAGCACAACATTTGCTTCAGCATTTGTTTTTCGGATTTGTACTTTCCTATTGTATTTGGCCTCTTTCCGAAACATTCTCATTATATATATAGGTGGCTTTTTTTGGCTTTCCCTTAGGTTATTTCATTTACTATTTCTCTCTCTTCCGATTTTGTTTTTCCGTTTTTCTATTCTCTCATTTTATATATAATTGTCTTCTCTTTTTATAATTTAGATTTAGTTTTTCAAATTTGTGTTTTCGTTCTTCTATTATGTTTCCTTTTGGAGTTATATACAGGTTTGTGTTGTGGTTTTTTTGTTTCTTGGTATTGCATTTTGGATTTCATTGTTGTGTATATTTGTAAGTGTTTGTTCGATTTTTCTTGGACCGGAGGTTTCGGTGATTTTTTGTTACTTCTATTCAGTTGGACTTAATTTGTTTGTCTATTTTTATTGTTCATGGCCTTTGCGTTTGCATTGTTTTGGTTTGTTTGGTATTGGGGTTTATTACCTTTTTTTTTTTGTCTTTGTGTTTCCTGTTTCTATTTATTTGTTTACTTTGTTTGGCATATAATTTTTTTTTTTGGTTTGTGTTGTGATTTAAATCGCTTACCATTCAGATTGATGTGTTGTGTTGATTTATATTTGTGTTATGGTCTTTTATTTTGTACCATTCAGATTGGTGTGTTGTGTTGTGTTGATTTATATTTGTGTTTTGGTCTTTTATTTTGTTTTTTCGTACCAAAGAATCGATTATCATTTTAGATTGATGTATTGTGTTGTGTTTCTCTGTGTTTGTTTACTTTGTTTGGTAAATACTATTTTTTTGGTTTGTGTTGTGATTTGAATCGACTATCACTTAGATTGGTGTTGTGTGTTGTGTTGATTTATATTTCTAGAAGAAGAAAGCAAAAGGTTTAGCTAAATCTGGGGAGACGAGGATCGAGAGATGGCCAAGAAGAAGAGAGAAAAAGGGAGGACAAGAGAAATAGAATAAAAGTTCGGCCGAGTAATAGAGGAAAGGTCTTTCGGCCGAAGAAAGGAGGAACAGGACAATATTGGCAATTGATTTTGCTAAAGCAATTGTTGTTTTGTTCACAGTGCTACTGTTCAAAATTGGTACTGTTCAAAATTGGAAATTGTAGAATACTTTATTATTCATAATTTGCAATTGATTTCGGGAGATGGCTAAGAAGAAGAGAGGGAAAGGAAGGATAGAAGAAATAGGAATAAAAGTTCGACTGGCTGCCGAAGGAAGGAAGATGAGGACAATGGAAAGGGGAAAAGCACAATACTCTACTGTTTATAATTGGCAATTGAACTGTTCAATACTGTTAATAATGAGTCTATCGGTGAACTCCTCTCTTTTTCAGATTTAAGAGAGAAGTTCACCGGTACTCTTATTATGAACAGCAGCGAAATCAATTGTTGATTATGAACAGCAGTAATTTCAATAGTATAACATTTGCTTCATCATTTGTTATTCGGATTTGTCCTTCTCTTTTATATTTGGCCTTTTACCGAAATGTTGTATATAGAAGCAAAAAGAAGAAAAGTTCGGCTGGGTGCCGAAGCAATTAGTACATAAGGACAAAGGAAAGGGGAAAAGCATAATATTTTAATGTTCATAATTGACAATTGATTTCGCTGCTGTTCACAATGAGAGTGGCGGTGAACTTCTCTCTTAACTCTTACAAAGTAGGGAGTTCACCGGTAGACTCATTGAATAGTGCCAGTTTGGAGCGACAGCAGTTTAAACAGTATAACATTTGTTTCGGCATTTGTTTTACGGGTTTTTCCTGTTCTTACACTGGCCTTTTTGCCGAAACATTCTCCTTCTATATATAGGCGGCTTTTTTTTGTTTTTCCTTGGGTTCTTTTCGTTTACCGTTTCTCTCTCTTCCGATTTTGTTTTTCCTTTCATCTGTTTCCTCGTTCTATATGTAAGTGTTTCGGGGTTTTCTGATGTCCTGCGGGAGAGTTACAATTCCGAGACTGGAACCGGACGCCTGTACCTGCAAAACAACGGAGACTCCTGGTGGTGGGAGCTCCGCCTCCAACGGTCAAGTTAGTACTTGATTAAGGAGTAATTAATGCGGAAATTAAAGTGATTAGGTCTCTCTAGGTGAGAGTGTTTAATGTAGGTAATCTGCTTTGTTAGCGTGATCAGCCTGTTATCTCTGTGTAATCTCCGTAATCCCCCCTTAATAAGGATTAAGGGAGGAATTTATAACCTTGGGAAACGTGCCAATCCTAGGTTTAGGTTAACCTAGGGCTGATTGGGCTTCCCTCGGAAGTTGGGCCTGGGTGGCCGGTTTCTCCATTAGGCATGGAGTATGCCACGTGTCATGACATAATAAGTCCAAGGTGGACGAATAAGCGCGTGCCACGTGGCAAGCCCTGACAGTTCCAACTGGGGGACACTTGGCAGGACCTGATTGGCCCACGTGGCGCATTCCGATTGGTGGGAGCAAAATCCCCTAATCATTTGCCCCTCACAGGTGGCACGTGACTGATCACGTGTTACCTGTGACAGGTGTCGAACTGTAACAGGCGACGACCTGCTACAGGTGTCACTCGGCGAAGGGCCGAGAGTTTCTCCCGCCCAAATTTTGAATTCTGGAAGTGACCCTTCGCCTTCTCACTTCGCCTATATAAAGGAGTGTTGACTTCAGTCATTTTCACACTTGAGAACTTTGTGAGAGAACATTCGGACCCCTGAACTTGCTCTGACATTTTGGACTTTTCTGCCTACCGCCTGCTCTGACAAGCCGACTGCACAAGATTTTCAGAACTCCATCAACGTCACTCGTTCTGGTAACCGTCGGTTCTCTTACTCTTAATTGTCTTTATTTTATTCTTTTTTGAAATGGCACCACGGAAGCACACGACACGACCTAGGTTAGTGATCAGTCGGTCACCGGGGACGGCTGAATCTAGGACTAGGAGTGCCGCCTGCCCTTTTCCGGACCCATCTTTGCCCTTTATACAAAGTCCGACTGTATCTGTGTCTATGCAGAGCATGATGACCAGAACAAAAAAGACTGCCAGGATCTCAAATTCAGACGGCTCCTCCCGCAGGGTGCCGATTAGTGAAACATCTGACCAGGCGCCAGATGTGGAAGTGAAACAAAGCGGCTTGAAAGCCGGCTGTTCTGAGGGAGGAATCAAAGTGACCCTTTCCCATTTCTCAGTTGACAATTCTTCATTCTCTCCTGCTCCTTTTAAAGGAGAGGAGGCGGGCCCCTCCGGGAGAGGGGAGGAGTCGTCCTCTTCGGACTCGTAGAAGGACGATTCCGAGTCTAGCTCTTCTGGCCATGCTTCTCTGGACACAGAAGAGAAAAACAGTCGCCTGCAAGAGGCGAGGCTTTCTCACGCAGTTAAGAAGGGGGACAATTAGGCGGAGCCATCCGCCTCTTACCGAGAGCAAAATACCCCCTACTACTGCACGGTACCTCGGGGCCGGATCACAGCCATGCAAGAGAAAGTGGAGAGCTTTATCGCAAACTACACAATGGGCCCCGACTTTTTAGTGTTCGTGCCGGATCCAGAGGACACAGTCGTCTGGCCGGCTGGTACCAGTTATGATAGCGCCTGCTTTGGCTGCTACGAGGCGGCCATCAAGGCTGGGCTGCGCTTCCCATTACATCCGGCTGTTCAGCGGATCTTGGATGGGTATGAGTTGGGGTTATGGCAGTTAGCCCCGAACTCCTGGGTCAACGTACTCGGCTATGTGGCCGGGTGCGAACTGCACGGGGTGGAGCCGAGCTTCGAGGCTTTCGCCCACATGAACTACCTCAGCCGGCCGGACCCCTAAGGCAGGCGGTACCGGCTGGTATCAATTGACGAGCCACAGGGGCTACTACATGACGAGAGGTAAAGCAAACAAATGGAAGGACTGGTGGTGCACCTTTTTCATCATTGAGAGTTCAGACACGGAGCTGAACAAGCGCCTCAACAGGTGGAACAGGAATCCGCCCCTTCTTGCAGGCGGCCGTAGCATGCCGCCTGTTCCCCCCAAGGCTAAGAAAGAGATCCTGGATAAAGGACTCTTTAAAGTAGAGTCGAGGGTCGACTCTACTTCAGGGGTACGAGAGCAAGTACCCCTGCACTGCGTCCCGAGTTTCAAATGGCTCTACGACGAGTACTTTTTGGCCGCCTGTGGCCTCAGCAGTCGGTCCTCAAGAGGTAGTCGGCTTGTCGAATACTCTGCTGTTCCGTGCATTTTTGTTTTAACTTTTATTAACTTTACTGTTTGTTTTTGCAGCGGACGCCATGAGCAAAATTACCGCCTCCAAGACTGCGGCGGCCATGTTGCGGGCCTCCATCATGCAACAAGCTTCAACCGACTCCCCCAACAAGGGGGCACCCTTGGTGGGCTTCGAACCTTTCACCCTCTTTTTGGAGTTGTGTTTATGCATATACTGACTTTTTTCTTCTTTTTTTTTAGACGGGTGCTCCAAGAGCTTCTTCTTCCCAACAGCCGGACCCCAAGGCCCGGAGGACGACTGTTGCGAGCTCTCCTGGTTCTGCCAGGAAACATGCGGCGGCTGAGAAACAACCGACCACTTCTTCAAAAACTCCAGCTGGGCCGCCTAGAAGTATGAAGTTGTCCTTGTAAATTTTAGACTTGCTCCCTTTTTTAGTAGGTCTAATCCGTTTGTTTATGTTTGATGCAGCCGGCCCTCAGGAGCCTGACTTGGTCGAGGTGGCCAAGTCTATGATCAAGGCCGTTCCTCCAGCTGAAAGGGAGGCGGTCCGGGGTGTCGGCACCCTTGACCTAGACGGGATTGCAGGGGTCCTTGCTGAGTTATACTTGGCATATTTTTGACTATTTGAATTCCAGGACGCCTGTTTTCTTTTTGTTTAGAAACTGGCGCCTGTTCATTTTTACTTAGGCCCTGCTGCGAGTGAACGGCCTTCGCAAGCCGCTTGACCGGAAGAACAAAGAGGTAAAGGCTGCAAAAGCTATGGCCGCCTCTGACTGTGATAAGGCAATGTTTCAAATTGCCCAAAATGAAGTTCTGACCGTTGATATTCTTTATTATCAGGCGCAGGCTACCGCCGCTATTCGGGCTCAGTTAGAGGCGGCCTAGAAGAGGAATGGCGAGCTGGAGGCGACCATCACCAATCTCAAGGCCGAGCTGAAACCTCTTCGCCTAAAGATGTACTCATACGAAGCCTTGGAGAAATCCTTGGCCAACGTAAAGGAACGCCTGGTGACCCAGGAGAAGAGTCTTACTAAGGAGCTCTCGGAAAAGGCCGAGCAAGAGAAGAAAGAGCTGGTCCGGGAGATGATGGAAGACTCTGCTCAAATCCAGCGCATGACTTGGGGCCGCCTCTTCCCCAATGCCGACTTTGCCTCATGGGAAAAAACGTACCGCTAGTGTTCTAACACATATAATCAAGAGATCCTGGCGGCTGCTGAGGAAGAGGCGTTGGAGGAAGCGTTGGAGGAGGAGGAGCCGGTAGTGGCGCTTGTGCCGCTTGGGGGTAATGCATCAAAAAAGGATGCAGCTGAAGCCGAGTCCAGCAAGAAGAGTGCTGACCAGGCGGCAGCTATTAATATTGAAGATCTGCCCCCTTCTTAAGCTTTATGTATTCTTTCCACGGCCTGCGTGCCGTTTGTTTTGTATTTACCCGGCTAGGGGGCCGGGGCTCTGAATATTTTGCCGGTCTTAATGACCGACTTCTTTTAAATGAATTTTTTGTTTTGCTTCAAATTTGTTCAAGTATTGAATATTCTGATATCCAATTGTACACTATACCGACTGTTTTACATGGCCGATAGTTGCAGACAGGTACGGATAGTTAGTCACGCCGCCTATGCCCCAGGACGACTGGTTGTCTGTTTCCAGGATAGACGATCAGTCGGCCATTTATCCAATCGGTATTCGAACCATTTTAAACTGGATCCCTTTTAGGCAGGGGGTCCTGTCATTTGCAAAATTAACCAAGTAGGAAAGTGGTCTGACCAAGTAAACATGATTGTTACCTAGTTGCCAAGTAACTGAGTAGTAGAGGTATCAAGCGGTGGGTACCGGTTGTTCCCCTTGATTCGCCAATGTATGTTGGCTATTAACCCGAGTGGTTACCTAGTAGGAATAGGGGTTTGAGTGCCCCTGTTTGCCAAAAAACAGGCGGTCTACTCAAACCTTTTAGGTTCCATACCAAGTTTGAGGGAGTGACTATGAGTTAACGTTGGTGTTACTCAGTCGCCGTCACTCTTGCTTGAGAAGTAGAGGTACCAGGCGGCGGAGGCCGGCTAGACCCCTTGAATCGCCAATGTTTGTTGGCTATTAACTCAAGAGGTTGTTAACCTAGCAGGAGTAGTGGTTGAGAGCCCCTGTTTGCTAAAAACAGGCGGACGACTCATACCTTTTAGGCTCCATACTAAGTTTGAGAGAGTGACTATGAGTTAACGTTGGTGTTACTCAGTCGCCGTCACTCCTGCTTGAGTAGTAAAGGTACCAGGCGGCGGAGTCCGGCTGAACCTTTTGATTCGCCAATGTTTGTTGGCTATTAACTCAAGAGGTTACCAGTAGGAATAGGGGTTTGAGTGCCCCTGTTTGCCAAAAAACAGGCGGTCTACTCAAACCTTTTAGGTTCCATACTAAGTTTGAGGGAGTGACTATGAGTTAACGTTGGTGTTACTCAGTCACCGTCACTCTTGCTTGAGAAGTAGAGGTACCAGGCGGCGGAGGCCGGCTAGACCCCTTGATTCGCCAATGTTTGTTGGCTATTAACTCAAGAGGTACCCCCTGCATTTATCCCAAGTAATACAGGCGG